GAGCGAGGTCATCGATGCGGAGGGAGTCGGAGCAATCGGGCGACTGAACTTCTGCTAGGACGGGGATGAGAAATGTCTTCGCTTCGTAAGTCGATGGACTGCTGCCCGCTGTGATTCCTCGCTCCGAAAACACCCGTTCCGAGAAAGCCCCATTCAACATCCCTCTTTGTGGGCACCGATACATGTTAATGGAGTAAGCGAAGATGTAGAGAGGATAGCTGCTGCTCTGCCCATGTTTCCACAAAATAGAATGATCCATCGTTTCATGGAAACTCGTCAGATCCCACAGTACTACCAAATAATGCCCTACACTGGCTGCTGCTTCGCTACGCACTGCTTGCAGCCATACCGTGTCCTCCGGGCTTCGGCTCTGGCTCGCACTAAAATCTCCCCCTAACCCATGCTCTCTCTCCCACTCCTTGCACTGCATCGCTGCAAACTTCCCTTGTACCCGAACTTCCGCTGGGAGGAAGCCAATGCATCTTCCACCTCCTCCTCTGCGCGCGAGGGCGAGGAGGAGCTGGAGAGAGCGAACTCGGCAAGGGGCTTCGCCTAAAATGTCCATGAGTACATATAGGAGCCCCAAGACCTCTAGGCTTGCATCGCTGCCAAAACCGACGCGACGAGGGTGGCAGCCATCTGGCTGGCAGGCCCTCTCTTTGAACGAAGCTGCTACTTTGCGGATGGCCTTCGGGGGAGCAGGCCCTGAGACTGCGCACGCTGCTCGACTGCGAAGCCATTCAGGTAATTCTGGCTCATGGTCCGTTGCTTGCCACTTGGCTGGCCACGATTGAAAATGGTTGGCAACCAGTTGGGAAAGCGTTGACGGACAACTGAACTCCGTCATGACATTATCTTCCTCCTGCTGGCCTCCTAACTTAAGATGCCTAAAGACCAGCTGACCTCCTCCTTCACATGCTCTCGCACACCATTCCTCCCAGTTATGCTGCTGCTCCTTCTTGTCATTGCCCTGGCTGGCTTCCTGCAAGCTAACAAAGAAGGTGAAGGGGGGGCATTGATGAGGTCGATGGGACTTGGAGCATGTGGTAGAGCGCGGGCTCAGCTAGACGTTCATGGTACTTCATCCCTGCTTTCCAATGTGTTCGGAAGGGCCCTCCTCTCCTAGGAAGCTGCCTGAGAGAATCCTCCAGCTTGCGAAGATGAGCTTTTTGGCGGGGAGTGGTGGTGAGGCCGTAGAAGCAAATGGCTCGGACTTCAGTGAGTCGATCCACGACCCATGCTATAGCTCTCTCTGGCATCACCTTTTTGTAGTGCTTGGTCCTCAGCAATTTTGACAAAGAAACTTCTGTGAGGGTAGGGTGGCTGCCCAACTTCTTGCCCTGCTTGGGGAACGTCTGAGTTGCTTCATAGACCTCTTGTCTGCGGCGAAAGTTCCATTCATGGCATGCCTGATCCAGCAGGTTGAGACCTTCTTGGCGCAGGTGACCGCTGGGAGAAAGCGTGGTGCAGCTGTCTTCTCCTGTCTGGAACTGGCCCATGAAATCCAGAAGCTTGGCACGCAGGTCTGCGTAGCCGGGGGGGGGGGGGGGCTCCACGGGCCTACCGCTCTTTGATTGTCTGCCGTCGCTCTGGTCAGCTTCAGCTCCACTGTCTATGGGGTTTCAAGGGCATATCCAAGTTCGTGGTCACCTCTGCACCGCCTGCGATAGAAGGTTGGAGACCACGTAATAGTCGAACATAGATTCAGTGGGACCAGACTTGCACGTGGGGACACTGTCGTCTGCTTGGACTCGCCCGCCCAGCTGAACAAGTTCAATGTTTTCAAGAAATTGCTGCAGCGGCATATTGAAGACCCCTCCTATGATGTAGGAGTGGCCGTGCTGCAGAACATCATTTCCCAAGGTTCGCAGATAGCCAAGAGCCCCCTCACCGACCCCTCCCCCCGACTTTAAGTAGATGGAGCAGATGGCCACTATACCATCGCAGGAGGTGCGGATAAAGTATCGGGCCGCCCTCCCTGGGATAATACTGTCGCGTCTGAGATTGGACCACGCAACGAAGTGCGGTTTCACAAAGATTAGCGTGCCACTCGACATGCCCCCATATTTGCCTGGAAAGCCCTCTGCCCCGAAGACCTCCCATCCTCTTCTCCTGTATGCTGAGACAACTGACTGGCACTTGCTTCCACTTAGTTCATGCTCTTGCACAAGGACAACATCAGCATAAACACTGCCCGCAAGCGCCTCCCCCGTCCCCCGCGACGACACGTTGAACGCAACGACGGTGAAGTCGAGGAGGCGGGCAGCTTGGCGGCGCCGGTGGCGACGTTGTCGTCGCCGCGCCGACGGGCCCGAACGCCCTTCTCCCTCCTCCTGGCCCTGCTCAGATCTCGTCTGTCTCTGCTGCACCTGCCGCTGCTGCTGCTGGCTGCTGGGAGGCCTGCGCTGGGTTGGGAGGAGTTCCTGCTCCTGCTGGAGGCCGAACTGCTGCTGCTCCTGAAACTGGCGGGGCTGAGCGGGCTCTGGCCGCAGAACCCTTTCCCTTCCGCATGACACCTGCTGCTGCGCTGCTGGCACTGCTGCCACTGCCTTTGCCTTTCCCTTTGACTTGCTTGCCCTTTGCCATTGGCTTCTTTGCGTATGCCTCAACCAACTTCGCATATGCCTCAGGAGTGGTTCCTTCTGGGACTGAGTTGCGAAAAGCGTGTGTCTGCTGAAGCTTCGCAATGAGTGGCCCAATGTCCGTCTCTGCTGCTCTGTTGTGCCCCTACGTGCTGTATCCTTTCTCCTCGTCAAGCTGGTCCAGAGTTTTGTCTGCATAAAACTCACATTCCCCTGACATCTTCGCCATGTCCATGCCCCCTGTTCCTGGATCAAACACATCATCATCCTCCTCGTCTGATTCCACACCTCTTTCCTGGAGTTCTTACTGGTATTCCGACAGAATGGCTTCGTTTTTGCGGGTGGTCGTCGAGGACGCTGAGCAAAGTTTCCAATGTTTGCTTCTCCTGGCCTTGCACATGCACCTGCAACTGCTTGGTCTGCTTGTCTTGAAGCGACGCAATTTATGCCTGGACCAAGTCTGACTGTTCCTGGAGGTGGTCCTTCTGAAGCTGGAGGGTTTGGATGATGGTCTCGATGTCCTGGATTCCCCCCTGGAGTTCGGAGTGTCTCTTCTTCTTGTTCCGAACTGCCCGTTCCCCTTTGAGCAGAACTTGGGAGGGGGGCTGCTGCGCTGTGCGCTCTTGTTGGACAAGTCCACATACCTGCTCAAACTGCGAGACCACTGCGGGGTCCATGTCAGCTTTCTTGAGCTGGGCCAGGGTGTTCTGGATTGATTGCTCCAGAGAGGAATGCCCCGAAGTCCGAGGAGGTCGACCTGGCTTCGAAACTGGGGCCTGGAGCTGGGCGGGGTCTTGATAGCCTCCCAATGTTCCGAGTCCCTTGGTTGCCCCTTTGCCTGCGTCCTGGAACTGGAGAATGCCTTGGTATGAGTCTGGAAGCCAAACACCTTTGCCGTAGCCTTTCGAAGATGCCCCTTTTCCTTTACTCCTGCCCTGCTGGTACTGGTTCGGGTACTGGAATGCTCCTCCTCTTCCCACTGCTCCTGCATAGCTGCCCTGCCACTGCGGTTTCCATGCCGTGAACTGCTGGGGAAGCTGAGGGGGCTGCTGAGCAAGACGACGGAGAGGAGCATGACAATGGTAACAGGACTGATACCACGGTGGGTTCTTCTTGTTGCCACACTTTCCACAGACCAACGCCGGACTGCCATGGCTGCCAATTCGTCGAGAGTGGATGGATAGAGTCGGCCGCGTTTGGCCTTGAGGGTAAGCCAACCACGGAGGCGAGGCAATGCCGCCTACCTACCCCGTGTGGCTTGAACCTCTGGTCACTGTACCACCTTGAGAAGATGGCAACTTGAGCCAAAATGGCTACGGATCCTTCTCCTCCTCCTCCTCCTCCTCCTCCTCCTCCTCCTCCTCCTCCTCCTCCCAAGCACATGGGGCCCAAGGCGCGTAGATTTTTCTTTAGGCTCAAGCGCGTCATGGGTCCTGCCCCGCCGCCTCAGCGCGGCGTGCTTGTGGCTATTCGCAACTCTGGTATCTTCTCTTGAGGCGCGGGTCGGCTAAGGGCGGGGCGAACGTGTCAGAGTCAGGTTCAATCCTCCTGCTGCATTTTCTGGCGTTCGTGGATGTCCGTGGGATTCATTTTCCCCGGTTCGCGGGGCTTTGCAATGCATATGGTGGTCATGTTTGTATTTTGTTGCTGTCATGGTACCTTCTGCTTTATTTTCCGCTATCCCATCACGGTGTATGTCACGGAGTCCGTCTACTCCTTGTTCAGCAACTCATGGGTGTTTTGGCTGAGCCTGGCCAGCGCAAGGCAGACGTATTATGTTTTATTACAGTTTCGGTTTCTGTATTGGCTGAGCCTGGCCGGTGCAAGGCAGACGTATTTTGGGGTGTCTGGAGTTGTGCGCAATAATGGTGAAGAATCTTCCGAGGGACCTGAGCATTTTACTTCGTTGGAGTGCTGTGCAATATTGGTGAAGGGGAATTTGAGGAACTGGTGCATGTTTCAGGGTCTTCGTGCTTGTCGGCATCGCGGTGGTGGCGCAGGGGGCCTGGTGGTTGCCAGGGTAGTGTTTTTCTCAACGGCAATCATATACATGACGAATAGTATCCACAGGTACATGGTGTTGATCATCCTCTGACCTGAGTATGGCTTCTATGGGCTCATTTGGTTGTTAGGATCACTGCGCGATTGTTCCCACCACCACCACCACCACCACCACTCCTCCTCCTCCTCCTCCTCCTCCTCCTCCTCCTCCTCCTCCTCCTCCTCCTCTCCGTCCTCCTCCTCCTCCTCCTCCTCCTCCTCCTCCTCCTCCTCTTCGTCCTCCTCCTCCTCCTCCTCTTTCCCCCCCTCTCCAACTTATGGTGGTGGTGGTGGACAAACAAGCCCATCACTTCTGGCCGCCCCGAGGAGGCAGCTGGGCGGCCGCGCGCGGCCGGAGGCGGGGCGGGAGCGGCGGACCACAGGAACTCGCTGACATTGCGCGGGCTGCCGTGGCAGACCTCCCCCAGAGGGCGGCTGTCACGAGCGGCAAGCATGTGTCATCCTCCTCCTCCTCCTCCTCCTCCTCGTCTTCGTCTTCTTCTTCTTCGTCTGCTTCTTATTATTATTATTATTATTCTTATTCTTCTTATTATTATTATTCTTATTCTTATGCGTCTTCTTCTTATTATTATTAGTATTATTATTATTAGTATTATTATTATGTTGTGTTATTATTATTCTTAGTATTCGTATTCTTCTTATTATTCGTAGTCTGATTCTTCTTCTTATTATTATTAATAATAATAGTATTAGTATTAGTATTAGTATTATCCGTCGTCTTAGTATTATTAGTATTGTTATTAGTATCATTCGTATAATTCTTATCATTATTATTATTATTAGTATTATTATTAGTATTATTATTCTTATTCTTCTTAGTATCATGATTATTAGTATTATTATTCGTTTTTGCATTCTTCTTATTATTATTATTATTAGCAGTGTTCGTCTTATTCTTATTCGTATTAGTATTCTTATGTTTAGTAGTTTTCTTATTGTTATTCTTCTTATTATTAATAGTATTTTGGTTCGTCTTATTCTTCTTAGTAATATGATTAGTACTATTATTCTTCTTACCCGTATGATTAGTAGTCTTCTTATTGTTATTATCGTCACCCTTATTATTAGTATTATTATTTTTGTTAGTATTCGTATTCGGTTTCGTCTTCTTCTTCTTCGTATTATGCTTATTATTCTTATTATGATTAATAGTATTCGTCTTCTTATTTTTGTTAGTATTAGTACGATTCTTCGTATTGTTAATCTTCTTATTATGCTTATTATTATTGTTCTTCCTTTTAGTATTATTATTATTATTATTCGTTTTCCTCCTCCTCCTCCTCCGCCTCCTCCTCCTCCTCCTCCGCCTCCTCCGCCTCCTCCGCCTCCTCCTCCTCCTCCTCCTCCTCCTCCTCCTCCTCCTCCTCCCCCCGCCCCCTCCCTCTCCTCATCATCATCCTCCTACTTCTCCTCCTCCACCCCCTCCTCCTCCTTCCCCTCCTCCCCCTCCCTTTCGCCTCCTCCTCCTCCTCCTCCTCCTCCACCTCCTCCTCCTCCATGCCCGAGCCCTCGCGGCCTTCATTCCGGAGCGCGACCCCGTGGATGCGCGCTCGCAGGTTCCGAGCCAGGCATCCACCAGAAAACGCCCAGCAGGCACTGGGTCGCTGCCCAAGGGCCAGACCCGCGAGGCCGTGGATACGGATTCGTTGCCCGCCCACGAACAACGGCCGGAACTGAGGAGGGGCAGGGGTGGGCGGGGTGGGGAGGGGGGGAAGGGGAGGGAACAGAGAGGGAAGAGGCAAGCCAGATGCGCAAGCATCATCTCTGACGTCCTACCCCTCCCTGCTGTCCCTTATCATGGCGTAGATATCCTCTCTATTCGCACAGTCGGATGTCGAACAGGGCCATGATCCCGAGAGGGTACGAGACGCATGGTATAGCACGTCATAGCATGGCATAGAAGGGCAGGGCCACAGCCGACGTCGTCGCGTCCAGAACGCTACTAAGTTCGACAAGAAGGTCAGAGAGAAACCAGAAACAGCACAGGACGGGAAATGCAATTGAACGATTTGGAAACCGGGAAGCGCCAGATTTGATCAGCGCTGCAGCGGGAGCACAGATTCGAAGGACCGACACCGCGGAACTTAGACCAGCGCTGTAGTGGGAGCACGATTTGGAAGGACTGGAAGCGCGAAACCAAAGCCAATGCGGCAGCGGGAGTACGATTTGGAAGAACCGAAACAATGAAATGAGGTCAACACTGCAGCGGGCACATTATTTGCAAGGACTGAGAACGGGAAAATGGAGCCAACGCTGTAGCGGAAGCGCCATGCTAAAAGGACTGAAAACGCTCGGGTTGGAAAAACATGTGTTCATTGTCAACTCGGCTCTTCCTCCTCCCTCACTCCCTCCTCCTCCTCCTCCTCCTCCTCCTCCTCCTCAGGAAGAAGAGGAGAAGGAGAAGGAGGAGGAGGAGAAAGAGGGGAGGACATGGGATGAGTACGAGGGATGTGAGCAGGACGAGGGGGCCAGGAGAAGAATGAGAAGGACGATGATGAGGATGGTACAGCGCGCATCGGTAGATGCGTGTAATGTACAAGGTATGGGATCGCGATGACGACGACAATGGCGATGACGATGGCCATGACGATGCCGATCATGTTGAGGATGATGATGATGATGATGATGATGATAAATGATGAATGATGATGAATGATGATGATGATGATGATGATGATGATGATGATGATGATGATGATGATGATGATGATGATGATGATGATGATGATGATATTGATGATGATGGTGATGATAATTATAATGATGATGATGATGAAGAAGATGATGCGGATGATGATGATGTTGATGATGATAATAACGGTGATGATAATGATGATGGTCATGATGATGAGGAGGATAGCGACCACAACGATGATAGTGGTGGTGCTGATGGTGGTGATGGTGATGAGTATGATGGTGTTGGTGATGATGGTTGTGATGATGATGATGATGATGATGATGATAGTGATGGTGATGGTGATGGCGATGATGATGTTGTTGGCGATGCTGATACTGATAATGATGATGATGATGCTGATGGTGTTGGTGATGGTCGTGGTGGTGAGGGTGAAACTGATGATACTGAAGATGATGAAGCTGATGATGATGACGATGACGACGACGATGATGACGATGAGGACGACGACGACGGTAATTATGATGATGATAGTGATGATGACGATGCTGATGATGATTATGAGTACGATGGTGATGCTGACAGATGATGGTGGTGATGATGGTGATTATGATGATGATGCTGATGATGATGATGCTGGTGGTGATGGTGATGTGATGGTGATGGTGATGGTGATGGTGATGGTGATGGTGATGGTGATGATGATGATGATGATGATGATGCTGATGATGATGATGATGGTAATGATAATGACGATGCCGATGATACCGACGACGACGATGTTGATGATGATGCTGACGAGGACGATGACGATGACGATGGTGATGGTTGTGGTGACGATAACGATGACGCTGACGCTGACGGTGATGGTGATGGTGATGGTGATGGGTGATGGCGAGGATGATGCTGATCATGGTGATGGAGACGGTAATGGTGCTGGTGACGCTGATGATGATGAGGATGAGGATGATGATGATGATGATGATGACTATAATGGGGAAAAAAAAAAAAAAAAACGTGATGGTGGTGGTGGTGATGATGATGGTGGTGGTGGTGACGATGATGATGAGGGTGATGGTGGTGATGATGGTGATGGTGATGGTGGTGATAATGCTGATCATGGTTTTGGCGACGGTGATGGTGATGGTGATGCTGATGATGATGATGATGATGATGATGATGATGATGATGATTATGATGGTGATGATGAGGATGATGATGATGACGATAATGGTAATGAAGATGCTGATGATGGTGGTGATGATGATGGTAATGATGGTGGTGGTGGTGATAATGATGATGATGAGCCAAGGGTAGGCCTACGGCGACGATGGCGACGACAGCGGCGACGAGCACGATGGCGGCGGCTGCAACCAGCTTCTGCATTGTGACACCCCCTAAGGAAGATGATGAGGATGATGATGAAAAGGAGGAGGAGGAGGAGAGGGAGGAGAAGAAAGAGGAAATCGGTTGCAGTACCCGTCGCCCCACGCCCCATCTCTCGCCGTAGTCGCCACCCGCCCCACTTTACCTCAAATCCTGACGCTGCGGACTGGCCAAAGCCCTGGTGGCGAGCCTCGACGTCGCGCCCGCGCCGTGGCTTGCGGTCCAAGCTTCCAGGCTTGCTTGATCGTCGGGCGTCCCCGCCTCGAGTTCGGTTGAGCTCCGATCCGCCGAGGCCGGCGGCGCGGCCCGGCGTGGGCATCGATACTCGGGAAACCGATGTGACGTCTGAGCAGAATCTGCGCTGTCGTTCGGCGCCTGGCGCGGCGGTTCCGGGGGCTAGGCAGCAGCAGAGGGGGCCAGGGGCACGAGGGGACCCAGCCGTGCCGAGCACCTGTACAGAAAGCCCAAACCTGTGAACGGGACACTCCATCTATAGATGTCTATATCGATGTAAGTGTATGTATCTATATATGAGTGATTACGCGTGGATGTAAACAAATCTAGAAATATGAACAAGCATACATGTGTAGAATATCAGTGTGCAAATATAGAAATGTTCGTGTATATCTAGAGTCGTGTCTATATATATATATGCACATAGATGATACACCCACGGTATAGTTGCGTACATATGCGTACGCACGTGTGCATGCATGTATCCATGAGCGCGCACACACATCGATATTCACACACACACAGACGCACATCGATATTCACACACACACGCACACACACACTTGAACATCGCACTACATATAGGCGTGCGCTGGATGGCACGTGAACGCGTTATACACACACGTGTGCATATATATATGTACACACATGCGTCTATAACTATATGTATGTAACCATGTAGGTTCGCATGACCGCACATATCCACATACGAAAACCGTTCGCAAAATCACTCAGAGCTTGGAAGCCCCATGGGCACCAAGAGGGCATCAACGCTAACCCTGCGAGGCCCTGAGAGGCTCCAAGAAGCCACTCCGCGAGGCTCCAGGAGGCTCCAGGAGGCCACCGCGTGATGTCCCTCCAGGAGGCCACCCCAGAAGGGCCCAAGACACCTACGGCCCGCGAGGCCCAAGGAAGCTGCGAGATGGACGTCGCCAGCCGCTCTATCTCTCTTTCGTCACGGCGCAACAGAGCTTCTTTTCACGAAATGTTTCGTTGCGCCGTTTCGCCGCCTTCCTCCTGGAGGGGGGTGATTGGCGGGAGCGCTCGAGAAGGAGGAGAAGGAGGAGCAGGAGGAGGAGGAGGAGGAGGTGAGGTGGTGGGGGAACGGGGGGGAGGTGGAAGAGTAGGAGAAGGAGGAGGATGAGAAGAAGAAAGAAAAAGGAGAGAAAGCACCAGGAGACCGCGGTTGCCAGGAGGGTTCAAGACGACCCCGAGGCCTCAGGAGGTCACGTGAGGTCCCAGGATGTTCCGGGAGGCCCCCCCACCCACCACGAGGCCCCAGGATATCCAGGAGGCCCCAGGGGTCCCAGGAGCCCCCAGAAGGCCACAAGGGGCGGCAGGAGCCCCGGAGGGGCTCCTGGAAGCCCCGGAAGGCTCCAGGAGGCACCAGGAGGCCCCAGGAGACCCCAGGAGGTCCCAAGAGGCACCGGGGGGCCCCGGGAGGCCTCGGGAGGCCGCGGGAGGCCCCGCGCGGAGGGCCTCAGGAGGGCGCAGGAAATCCCAGGAGCCCCCGAGACCCCATGGGAGGTCCCAGGATGCCCCGGGAGGCACGAGCCTTGGAGGCTCCAAAGCGCCACAAGCTGGCGCCCCCTCCTGGTCGGTCCGACGGGAGGAGGGAGGAGAGGAGAGGGGGGGAGGGGAGGGCCGGGGAGGGAGGGGAGGGAGGGAGGGAGGGAAGGAGGCGAGGGAGGGAGGGAGGGAGGGAGGGAGGGATGGAGGGAGGGAGGGAGGGCGGGCGGGCGGGAGGAGGAGGAGGAGGAGGAGGAGGAGGAGGAGGAGGAGGAAGCGAGCTCGCGACAAAGCTCGCGACAAGGCTCACGCGGGAGGGAGGGAGCCCCCCCCCTCCCGCCGCGAAACGCCGCCCCCCGATCTCGAAGTCGATGCGCTTCGGCAGCTGGGGCCGGACCAGCCGCAGGGCGGGGCGGGCGGGGAGTCGCGGGCACCGGGGCGAGGGAAGCGAGGGCGAGGGGAGGAGCGGAGGAGGAGGAGGAGGAAGAACGAGAAGAAAAAGAAGAAGAAGAAGAGAAAAAAAAAAAAAGAAGAGGAGGGATGGAGGGACCGAAGGAGAGAGCAGGAGGACTCTCTCCTCCTCCTCCTCCTCCTCTTCTCCTCCTCCTCCTCTTCCTCCTCCTCCCCTCCTCCTCCTCCTCCTCCTCCTCCTCCTCTTCTCCTCCTCCTCCTCCTCCCTCCTTCCCTCCATCCTTCCTTCCCTCCCTCCCTCCCTCCCTTCCTCCCGCCCTCTCTCCCTTCTTTCCCTTCCTTCCTTCCTTCCTTCCTTCCACTCGTCCTTCTTTCCTTCCTTCCTTCCTTCCTTTCTTCCGTTCATCCTGCCTTAGTTCCCTCATCCCCTCGGAGATTCCGTCCTTGCTTCCTTCATCAATGTCTTATTCATTTCCTCCTTCCCCCTCACCATCGCCATCAACCATCATCAACCATCATGATCAGCATCATCATCAGCAGCATCATCACGTCATAATGATACTCATCATCATCAACATCATCGCCAACAACCTAATCAACAACAACAACATCACCATCAGAATCATCGACAGCAGCATAATCACCAGCGTCATCAGCATCAGCATAATCATCTGCGTCACCGTCATCATCAGCAGCATCAGCATCATCATTAGCATCAGTATCACCAGTATCAGCATCACCATCATCAGCATCGTCATCATCAGCATCCTCTGTATCGGCATGTGGTGCAATGCATGTTGTACAATGTACGTGGTGCAAGCTATGTGGTGCGACATATGAAAACAAGCTGTGTGATGCAAGCTATGTAGTGCAACCTATCTGGTGCTATATAGTTGGTGCGAGCTACGTGGTGGTGCAATACGTGTGGTGCTATATAATGGGGGGGCCATGTATGTGGCGTAAGCTGTGTGATGCAACACATGCTAAACAATGCCCAGCCATGCATAGCACGGTATAGCGATACAACGCAATGCAAATGAATGAAAAGCCGTGCGAAACGGTGCAGTCAAGGTAAAGCAATGAAAAGCAATGGAAAGCAATGCAAAGCAGTGCCACGCAATGCCAAACAAGGCAAAGCAATACAAGGCAAAGCACTGCAAAGCAAAGCGTGCAAAGCACGACATCGCAATGCAACGCAACGCAAATGAGTGACAAGCAGTGCAACGCAATGCGATTACAAAGAAGTGCGATTACAATGCAACGACGCTAAATAATGCACAGTAACGCAGAGCAATGCAACAAAATGCCGAGCAACGCAGAGCAATGCAAAGCAATGCAAAGAAATGCCAAGCACAGCAAAGCAATGCAAAGCACTTCAAAGCAACGCACAGCAATGCAGGGTACTGGAAAACGCGGCATGGCAGTGCAAAGCAATGCAAAGCAATGCAAAGCAGTGCAATACAATGCGATTGCAAAGAAGTGCGGCTGCAATGCACTGACGCAAAGCAGTGCAGAATAGCGCGACTCAATGAAAAGCAATGCAGAGCAACGCATAACAACGACAAGCAGTGCAGAGCAGTGCCAAGCAGTGCCAAGCGACGCCGAGCAGAGCAGTGCAACGCAAAGCAGTGTGAAGCAGTGCATAGCGGGCGGTGACGAGGCGGCGGGCGGAGACGAGTTGGCGACGGCGGCCACACGGCGGCCGCAGCGGCCCCCAGGCCTGAACGGCGACGGGCGGCGACGGGCGACGACGGGGCGGCGACGGCTGCCAGAGGACGGCCGGAGCGGCCCGGAGGTTCAGCTCCGTAGAGAAAAGGGGCAAGAGACCCTGAGCGCAAGCACTGCTTGGAAAAGAAAACTCGAACCTCCTCATCTCCCTCCTGCTTCTAATCCTCCATCTCACCTCCCCTCGGTGCTATGCCATGCAGAGCAAAGTCCAGCAATGCCCTGCAATGCACAGCAACGTAAAGCACGAAATTCAGCGAGAAGCAGCGCAGAGCAATGCCAAGCAGCGCAAAGTAATACAACGCAGGGCAACGTAAAGCAAGGCAAATACATGCTAATCAATCGAACGCAGCGCCAAGAAAGCAGTGCGAATGAGATAGATATAGCAAAGAAAGCAGTGCATATCTATATATATATATATATAACGCAATGCCAAGTAACGCAAAGCAGTGCAAATAACGCAGGCCCGGGCGACGGCGGGGCGGCGACGGTGACCCCGCCAGACCGACAGGCGGGCCCAGTTCCTGAGAAAAGACATGCTGGTCAGCGTGGACCCCAAACAGTGTGTCGCTAGCACTCTATGGTGTGCCGTCTGTACTGTGCCACAAACGTGGTGCAATATGTGTGGTGGCACTGTTGTTGTGCAATGTATGTGGTGGGGCAATCTATGCGATGCAATATATGTGGTGCGCAATACATGTGCTGCAATACATGTGATGCAATATGTGTTGTGCAATGTATGTGGTGCTTGTGCAACCTAGCTTGAGCGCAATCGATGTGGTGCAAGATATGCTGTTTATGTGGTGCAGTCCATGTGGTGCAATAGATGCTGTGCAATATATATATATATATATATATATGGTGCAGTCAACGTGGTGCATTCAATGTGGCGCAGTCCTTGTCGCGGCGACGAGGCGGCAACGGGGCGGCGAAGGCGGGCACGGAGCCGCCAGACCAACAGCCAGACGACAGGGCGCCTTCGAAACGACGACGGGGCAGCGACGGCAAGGACGGAGCCGCCAAACCAACAGCAGGACCCAGACGGCTGGCGGCCACGAGGCGACAGCGGGGCGGCGACAGCGAACACGGGACCGCCAAACCGACAGCCAGGCCCAGACGACGGGCGGCGCCGAGGCGGCGAGGGAGCGGCGACGGCGAGCACGGGGCCACCAAAACCAGCAGCCAGGCCCCATTCTTTGGACCAGGAGCCCCTAAGTGCAAGCACTGTGGGGCGAAATCATGCATAAACGAAACATACCAACGAGCACAACCAATCGAAGAAACACGCAAAAAAACAAAAACGCTGCGGCGGAAAGGGGGGGGGGGCGCCGAGCCCATCCACTCCACGAGCTCGGGGTGGTTCTTCAGCTCCCTGGCCGCGCCCCGCGCGCCGACGCATTGTCTGGGACCGTGGAGGATCCAGGATCGAGGAGGATACAAGAGGATCGAAGAAGCTCAAGGAAGACCCAGCAGGATCAAAGGTCGAGGAGCGCCGAGGATCGAGGTTCTTGAACTCCAGAGGTCTCCGACGAGGGCATGCACCGTGATCGCTACTCTCGAATACCAGGGAGCCAGTTCCCAAAGTTTTTCGAATGTTTCCCTGTGCGCGCCTGGGCGGCCAAAGGATGCCAAATCCGCCGACCCCTTGGGTCTGAAGGCGTACGAGATTCTCTTCCCCAAAGAATGCACCCCCAAGGACCCCAAACGGGGAAATTAACCCCGCCCCCAGGGCCTGGTAATTACGGTCATTACGACCCGGGACGGGTCCAAGAAATCCGCGTAGAGCGCGTAAAGTTTCTGTCTATGGCGTTTATTATTATCCTTGGATGGGCGCTGGAAAGGTAGACAAGCGCGTTCCACTACTCGCAAGGTAGCTACTCGCAAACGGGCTACATCCGCCGAGGGGGATCTACGATCCATTACATTGAGGAAGACCTTATTTTTTCCCGGCGTTTGCGAGTAGGCTTAGGTCGGGCATGTCCCCCTACAGGCGGATTTTGGACGGGAAATAAAAAAGACGCAAACAAGAATACTTAACAATAGTCAAAGAATAATCCAAACATCGTCCCTGGGCTATTTCTGGAGTGCGTTTGCATCTTCCTCCTGTAGAGGGACTCGCCCGATTTAAGAGTAGTAAAACTTGAATAGGGCTGGAGAATCAGGTCTGCAAAACACCCCAAAATGACGTCAAGGGGCGCAACCAACCTGTTCGGTCAAGCGACAAGTGATGCACCACACCAGGCGTCAAGCCAAAACTCTGGACACAGACGAATGGTTGAACTTTTCACATCTTCGTCGGCTTAACCGGTCGAGGCGTTTGTCCACATTCCAGAGGGTTCCAAATACGGTTTTTGGGGAAGAGGTTTTCCAGAGAGCCCCCCAGGGGCCTCGGAACCTCGTCAAAACAAGGGGCGCGAAGCCCCTGGGGGACCCCTCCTGGAAAACCCCCTCCCCCCAAAACCCCCTTTGGAACCATCCTGGACCTCGACGTCCATGTCTTGAGGGTCTTGCAGCGGAAGGCGCTCTCTGACCCTCGGCCCTACTCAAGTGCAAGTGGCAGTGCTGTGTCAGCGCGGCGCACGCTTCGTCTGCGCCGCGCCCGTCGGAAGTGCTGCCGCTCCCGCCCCTGCGCGGCCCGCGTCGCGTGCTCTTCGCCACGTCGTCGGGAGCGGAGCCGCGCGCGAGAGCGCCCTCCGTTCGCGCCCTGATGCCCCAAGCTCGAGCGGTGCCACGACCGATCCCTGGTTCGGCGGGAGTGGGTGGGAGCAGGCGGGGCCCTCTGACTCGCTCGACCTCGCTCCGACTCGCTCGACCTGGGCCTCCCTCGGCCCTGCACCACGTGGCACGCGCTCGGCGACGAGAAGACCCCTGGCGCCACGGGCGCATCCAGCAGCGATCGCCCGTGGCCGGCGCCGTGCCGCGTGCACCGGCGGGAGAGGCCGCCGCGGGCCCTCCACGGCGGCACGCCTCCCGCGCACGCGCGGGGCTCTCTACTCTGGGAGGCCTCCCCGATCCGGGTCGGGCCTGTCCCCCTACAGGCGGAGTTTGGCCGAAAACTAGAAAAAACAAGAAATCCCAGTGCGACCCGACCTAGGAGTTGGAGCCTCTGGGAAAGCAACATTAGTAGGAGCGGTAAACGCCGTCCTCCTCCTTCTCCTCATCGTCGTAGTAGTAGTAGTAGTAGTAGTAGTAGTAGGTAGTAGGTAGTAGTAGGTAGTATAGGTAGTAGTAGTAGTAGTAGTAGTAGTAGTAGTAGTAGTAGTAGTAGTAGTAGTAGTAGTAGTAGTAGTAGTAGTAGTAGTAGTAGAAGTAGTAGTAGTAGTCGTAGTCGTAGTCGTAGTCGTAGTCCGTAGTCGTAGTCGTAGTCGTAGTAGTAGAGTAGTAGTAGTAGTAGTAGTAGTAGTAGTAGTAGTAGTAGTAGTAGTAGTAGTAGTAGTAGTAGTAGTAGTGGTAGTAGTAGTAGTAGTAGTAGTAGTAGTAGTAGTAGTAGTAGGTAGTAGGTAGTAGTAGTAGTAGTGTAGTAGTAGTAGTAGGTAGTAGGTAGTAGGTAGTAGGTAGTAGGTAGTAGGTAGTAGTAGTAGTAGGTAGTAGGTAGTAGGTAGTAGGTAGTAGGTAGTAGTAGTAGTAGTAGTAGTAGTAGTAGTAGTAGTAGTAGTAGTAGTAGTAGTAGTAGTAGTAGTAGTAGTAGTAGTAGTAGTAGTAGTAGTAGTAGTAGTAGTAGTAGTAGTAGTAGTAGTAGTAGTAGTAGTAGTAGTAGTAGTAGTAGTAGTAGTAGTAGTAGTAGTAGTAGTAGTAGTAGTAGTAGTAGTAGTAGTAGTAGTAGTAGTAGTAGTAGTAGTAGTAGTAGTCGCAGAACCGCCGACGCCACGCCGTAAGTGAAGCAGCAGCAGAAGCAGGCAGCAAGTCGCCAAAGAGCAGCAAAAGCAAGCAGACACGGAGATGAGGGCAGGCACGGAGATGATGGCCCACAGACGGACAACATGCACGGAACATACGTGCGCGCACACACACACACACACACACATAAGCATATATATAGAGAGCAGCAGCAATAGTGGATGCTGTGCTGCGCTATGCTATGATATGCTATGATATGCGTTGCTATGTTATGATATGCTATGCTATGCTATGCTATGCTATGCTATGCTGCACAATGCTATGCTGGGCTAGGCTATGCCATGCTATGCTATGCTATGCTATGCTGCGCTATGCTATGCTGCGCTATGTTATGCTATGCTATGCTATGCTCTGCTCTGCTTTGCTATGCTATGCTGCGCAATGCTATGCTGGGCTAGGATAGGCTAGGTTAGGCTAGGCTATGCTATGCTATGCTATGCTGCGCTATGCTATGCTGCGCTATGAAACGCTGCGCTATGCTCTGCTATGCTATGTTATGTGTTTGCTTTGTCGTCGCTTTTGCCTTCACTTTTGCCTTTGCGTTTGCTTTTGCTTGGCACCCAGGGAGCGCAACTGGGGGAACCGCGCGGTTGCTTTTACCTTTGCTGTTGCTTTTGCTTGGCTCCCAGGGGACTGGGGGAACCGCCCGGGGCGGTTTACACTGCCCGGCCCCCCCTTCTAGGCAGAGCCTAGGTAGGGAAAAATACCCCCTATCCCCCCCCCAAAAAAAAAGAACTCAAGAATGAGCAGCTCAAAAGTCCGAAGATCGTCCCCCGACTATCTTGTTGACTGCTTTTTGGGTAGATTCCTCCTGTAGAGGGACACGCCCGACTCATCCTAGATGGGGTCCGAGTGAATGGGGTCGGAGGCTCGCGCCGCATCGCCGATGCATCTGGATGCATCGGCGATGCATCGGCGATGCATCGGCGATGCACCGCGATGCATCGGCGACGTCGGCGATGCATCGGCGACGTCCGCGTGAAGCAAGCTGGGCTCCAAGTCGAGCAGCATCGGCGATGCATCTGCGATGCGGCGCGACCCTCCGACCCCGTCTACTCGGGCCCCATCTAGGATGCCTGGATCCTCTTCCCCCCGCCGCTGCGGCGGCTTCCCCAGCGTCTCTTCGCCTCGCCTCCTGCCAGGGGCCTCGCTTCGCGCGCGCGCGCCCCGCAGCCGTCTCACCGAGTCGGGCGCCGCGCCCGCGCCCCCGCGGCCAAACCAAGTGTGGGCGGCGCGCGGCCATGGAGCCCGGGGGATAAGGGGGGCCTGCGAGAAGACAGGATGCCTCCTGGCAGGGGCCGGGCGCCTCTGAGACGGCCGCTGGACAGAGGATAGGGGAACGAAGAATGGCATCAACATAAAAAATCGGAGGTCCGCGCGGATTTCGCAGATCGGCGCTGGGACCCCCTGGCGACGCCTCTGGCGCCGCCCTTGGCGCGCTCCGCGCGCCAGAGGGGGGGTCCAGCGCCGATGCGAGAAATCCGCGCGGACCTCAGAGTTTTTGTTGCTTGTGTCAGTCGTCGTTCCAGTTGAGGAGGAGGGGCTCCGAGAGCGGGGGTGGAGGGTGCTGGAGAGGCGAGGCGATCTCCGGCAGGACCCCTCGGGGAGCTCCGAGAGGGCGTCTCTTTTTTTCCCCCGCGAGGCCCGAGGGCTACATGGCGTCCAGGCTGCGTGCAGGGGAAGCTCAGATTGGGCTCGGGCATGCAGGGCGGAAACCACATCGTGGCGCCAACAACCGCCAGACTTTCCAGACGTCCACTGCCGTGCGCAGCAGTCGAAATCTACGCGCGCAGTACCCACGTTCCTTCGGTGGCAACTGATGGAAGCCTCCCATACCATCTTGTCGGCTCTTGCAAATCGACGCTAATCGACGCTAAGTCGATGCTAATCGACGCTAGCCGACGCTGAATCGGCGCTATCTCATCGACTCCACACGCTAATCGACGCTGACCGAAGCCGAAGACGGAATGAAGAGGGCACACCAGGCTCCCATGATTTGCCACCGAGCGTTCCCCTCCCCCTGAAAACGGTTACTTGACTTGTCCCCGACGTACTGCCAGGGGGACACATGCGAACCCTACCCCTACCCCCCACGATTTCTGAGGGGGGGGGGTCGCTTCGTTCGGGAGCTCCCGAGCGAAGTGAACCCCACCCTCCCCCTCAGAAATCGTGGGGGGTAGGGGTAGGGTTCGCATGTGGCCTCATAACTGCCCCGCCACGCACTGACTAGCACAGAGGATGCTGCACTGCGCGACGCCGGCCGCTGCCCTCGCGAGAGCGCTCCCGGAGGCGAGCGTGGCCCCGGCGCTGCAGGGCCGCGCGGGCGGGACGGGCCGCGGGGGCCCTCGGAAGCCGCACGGCACCGTGCCACCGCAGCCTCAGGCCGCACCAGGGCACAGTCGACCCGCATGACAGGGACGCACGATACGGGATGCAAGGGGCCTTGGAAGACCATGTCGGCACTTCGCGGGCGGG